TATACGGAGTATTAATTTAATATTGTGGTACTTGTCAGATGTGACGACTAATTCAAGCGATTGGGTAAAATTGTGCTAAATGTCGTAGACAATTTTCGAGTGCGTTCTAAGTTAACGGCATACAAAAAAATTGATTTAGATGCATAATCAATTATATTACACTTTGAAGTTATGTAATATTCAATAACACGAGTGAATCGTGTATTTATTTACGATTGTTTAGTACCTTTTAACAATGAAAAAAGGAACTCGTGTACAAAAAAAGTGTTGAGCCCACAACAACCATTCAATTGAAGTTTTTATGAATAATAAATTATTTGGAAACTAGTCTTTCTCACGTTCTATACTTAAAAATATCAGTAAAAAAAAAAATCCTACTCAAATGTCCTTGGTCTTTGAGCAGTTAAATTCACAATAGACTCCTTTAAGAAGCATAATTATTCATGTAAAAACCATCTAAAACATCGGTATCATCTCCGAGGCACGCACTAATACTAAATTTACCGAGCGCTACATTAAGAGGATCACCCCCTTTTTGGTATGCGAAAAATATTTTAAGTTTATACTAGACTGAATCTTAGTTAGGATCGCTAATCCAATTTATAAACTTGGTTATAGATTAATTTATAATTCTTATAATACTTATGAGTCATTTACAACATTTTTGTAATATTAGAAGTTATTACAATTGTAACTCTAAGTATCAATGAAATCAGAAGACATCAAACAATTTATTGTTTATTGAGTCAAGTGTTGTATTTTCTATATTATTAAATTGACAATTAATTATTAGCAGAGATCATAGTTTATAACAATAAAAAATGCTATAATGGGCACATACAAATATTGTTTTTAATACTATACAAAAAAGAAAAATGTGAAAATAAATTTGAACTTTGTTTTATTAAAATTTTTGCAATTTAGTTTAATACTTTATGGTTATTAATTATTATAATATACATAGTTATACTATTATCATTAAAATAAAACATGTATAATTTTTTGAAAGATTTAAAAACTTGTATTTTTATTAAATATTATGGGCAACAGTCAAGCCTTAATCGTAGTGTAAATATATTTGTTATTTAATAATATTTTCCTGTATTTATTCTCATATTAATTATTTATAACATTTTTACTAAAGTTACCTAATCATATAGCGTAGAAAAATTAGCAACCTTAAAAACAAATACTTTCATAAACTATATAATATTCAAATGTTAACACTGTCGTACGTCGGTAGTACCCCAACGTAGACACAAAGGTTTACTAAAGTTTTATGTATATATATATTGACGATGAGTTCGCCGTTCGAGCTCTTCCCGAGTCCTCCCGNTACAAAAATTCTAAGACTTTTTTTTGTTGCGGTACTAAAAGTTTTAAAAACAAAAAATAAACAAAATCGCACTTAAATTTCGAAATATGTAAAAATATAAACATAAAATTTCGATTTTAGATTATTGGTTTTCTAAAACAAATTAACAGTTTACGCAAGTGTATCTATGAGACTTAAAATTTTATATATATATGAAAATGCTAGAAGTATTAAGCCCTGATAATATTATTTTATAGCAATTAAAGATTCATTTATTTGTAACTATAGAACAATAAATTAATTACACGAAAATATCTGTTTTAATTGACGAGTCTAAATACCTGATGTGATCTTTAAGTATACTCAAAATAATCAAGTGTTAACATTTTAGAAAATAATATTTGTCAAATCTGAAGATAAATCTAGAAATAAATTAATTGTGGAAGGTATTTAAAATGTTCAGTTTGGCAATATATTAATGGCTACATAATCTTTAAATTTCTATTTTTACACGAGTATATAATGGTTCTTTTTGTTTTGTTTTCCAAACAATTCCTTTTCTTGGAAATTATTACATTTTAGTAAATATACTGTAAAGTTACTATATCAATATAAGAGAACATCAGTAATATGCTTACATTATTAGTCTTTAATCAATTAGATTAATAGGAGTATTTTTAATAATCGACATTTGTGTTATATATTCACGATAATACCTAATACGATGATTTTCTTGGAAGCAGAAAAATATCAAATTGGACAAACACATTTATTTGAAGATTAAAATAAAAGGAAAAATACATTATTATGTACTCAACATCATAACTATATAACCGCACTGTGTGTAGACGTTAACGAATAATATTTAGAACCTACAAAAAAATATATATATAAACAAAAAAAAAAAAATTAAAATTAAATAAAGAATTTTGATTACTACAAATAATTTACGCATATAGATTTTGAACGATGTAAACAAATATTATGATAAAAACAGATATGCTTTTTGTTTATATTATTGTTCTATTATAAAATCATCAATAGGAATTAATGAATTTTAGAGGAAAGAAGGTATAACGTCAAGTTAAAGGACATTGGTTTATTTTAACAATGTAAAAAATTCGGGTTTCATATTTATATCCCAAGTAAATGTACCTACGACATCGCATTGTTAAAAAAAAATCAATTAGTTCGGCCGTGAAGTCTATATTGTATATGTTATACACTTTGACCTTGAAATATATAAATCTTAAAATGTTTACAATTAAATTCACTACCAAGTAAAAACAGTTGTGTTCATTAAGCTAATCAAAGAAATAATGATTGTAAAATTTTAGTTTAAAAATCAATTGATGTATCTATTATTTCATATAATACGAAACAACACCCTATTGCATTTAAATTAAAATTTTTACCAGTAACAAATTTTCAATTCAATAATCTTTTTTACCATTTAAAGCAATTAATTTTCGAAATTCTCTAAAACGATCATACCACCTGAATTAATGCAATTGCCTTGGAAGGAAATTTCATCTTAAATAAAAGAGTACAGACATTGTTTGTTTATATACGTGTATAAATAATTATAAAAATAATAGTACTTAATCAATAATAAACAACAATTTTTGTCTTTGAAATTTATCTTAGTTCTTGGTAAACATCTTAAACATTTTTGAAGACCTTAAAGTAATTTATTTTATTTTTAATCATTATAAATAAAAACGTTTTTTGAATTAACATAGTAATTTTATTATTATAGAACTCGATACAAAAACAAGTATTAATTAACTAATTAAGTAAAAGTTTTTTTATGTATTAAATAATATATAAATTTTTAACGATATTAACTATGATAAAAATAATTAACACTGCTGTGGTGTGCAAAACACAAGAAACATGAAAAACAAGTTAAAAATCATTTTTAGTGTTTTTAATGCAATGATTTAATTCATCCGTCATAATATTTACCCCGGTCTTGGTAATTACATAATTTTGTTAACTATTTTTTCACATTTTTGTTATGGAATTATCGACGATCTTCTGTACGTGCTGGCTCAAAACCAATTACTCGCTCGTGTGTATTCATGAAATTATTTTATGTTAACATTGCAGTTTTGTTCGAAAACAATATAATTATAGTAACATAAATTACCTGTAGCAACGGTATAAAACAGGTGTTAAACTCTACACTTAAATTTCTGATACCTATATTTGTTTTTGTTAGGTTTAATTATTTTGTCACTTTAGCGGGAGTTTGTTAATAATTTATACCATTTCTATTTTATATTATATTATATTCAAAATACAGTGTTCACATAAGATTTCCGTTATTGTTCTGCTAAATAAAATAGGGTACAGTGATATTTAATAATACATTAAATTAAGTTTGCCATCATTAAATAAAACAAGTATTATAATAATTTCTCTAATGAATGTTCAATTAAGGTAAGAGGGCGTCCAAGTACCGTTTCAATTAATCAAAACGTGTTTTGAGTAATCACACGTATGAAAAATTAAGTGGTCGTAGAGAGATAATCAATATATTAAATAATCATGACAAAAATCATCGATATCCTAAATAAGGTGACTTTTAATAAAAAAAATTGTAAAAAAATTATAGCCCTTAAAAATTTGTTTTTTTTTTTATATTATTGTAACTATTTTTTTAATAAATCCTTATTATATCGTTAATATACTTAAACTTTTAAATACCCCGATCAGGATAAAAAGAAAATGCATTTGGATATAAAAAAAAAATGTTATTTGAAAGACTTTAAAATTTTGTTGATCATAACTGTTCAGTGTTTTGTTTTGAATTCAAATCAGAATGTAATAAAAGAAATTTTAAAGAAAGGTTTTTATGCTCTTTAAATAATAAATTTTTTTATAATAAAATAATAATAAAATTTAAATAATTTTAAATCCAAAAATGGTAAAAATTTCCTAAGTATGTGTTTAGCGTTGATAAGGGTAACATTGTTTCCGAAATACGTATCCGCGACTTTTCATTAATTTTTTTGTGGCTTTGAGTTTAATATTTTTAATATTTTTTAGTTTTTTAAATTAATAATATTTTTAATATAGTTTTAATTTTACTTAATTTCCTAAAAATCTAAAAAACTACAAAATAAATTTTTTTTTTCTTAAATTTCCGTTATATAAATCGAATTTTGTTTTTGGAGAGTATCTTCAAGATAAAGGTTATCTTAAACAAAATGTAACATTTATATAAAACTAGTATTATTCTAGTAACCATATTTATGTTTCATAAGCTTAATATTTTAAATATAAATTTAAAAATTTAATTTTAAATTCTAAAATTTTTTAACTTATAAATATTTACTTTATATGGTATAAAGAGTGGTATTTATTAAAGGATACCAAGGACTTTTATACTCAGGCCACTATTGGTGCAACTAAGAGGGCTAAAGGTAGTTTAGTTTCTCTACACTAAGAACTACTGGCTGGACTGGTGATATTTTTATTTTAATTATTTATTTATCTTTTTTCTTATTTTAAAGTAAATGTGTGCATACATATATTTATATTTTAAGATTTTATTTTTATTTTCTGTAGGAAGATATTAATTATTCAATGTATACGATAAGTTTGTGCTAGATTTGAATAAAAAAATTATTGATGGTAACAACTGTATAGTAAGTTGTAATTAGAAATAAAAACAATATACGATCACCAATTTATTTATCAATAAAATCACTTTCTAACGACACCATTATTTTTTAAAAAATAATGATAATAATTTTAATACATATTTCGAAGAAAAATTAATATGTACAAATAAAAATATTATTATATATTTAATTAGTTAACATCAGGTATGTTTGATATCGGATGACGGTAGACTCTATTCTTGTTCTGTTGGCTGTGGAATCGGCCCTTTAATTATTTAAGTAAAAAATTATAAAAAAAAATTCCTTTACATAGTCAGTTTTTATACTTGATTTATAAAACAGTTATTCGTCTTAAAAACAAGTAGTATTAAGATTAAAAAAATTAAGGTTACTCACTTCTATCAATTTTCATACCTAAGGTAACAATAGAATCGTTTATATGTTGAGAAAAAATTATTAGTGTAATATTTATTGTAATTTAAATATTATTTTTATCTTTTATATTTATTTTTTATGATAAGTTTTAAATAATTATAACTATTAGTTCTATAGAACATCGAGTTATTATTACTTAGGATTTAAAAAGTTAGCGCATTTTTTAAGTTGTTCTAACTCTGTGGCGTTTTAAGGAATTTTTTATAAATGGCGGGTGAAATGTTAAGACAGGTATTAAAACGTAGAGTATTAGAAAGCTTCAGTCCTCCAATACCCCTACTGTGATTTTATGTCAATGGGTTTAAGTCCGGGCGCCATGGACCTCATAAATACGAACTTTGTTTAGAATGGTTGAAAACCATTTATTTAGTTGGCGAACTTTCTAGAATATTTTAGTTTCTTAGAACCGCATCAAGGGAGTGACGGAAAGTACCCAAATACCAAATGATGTTTTGGTCGAATCCGCTGTTGGTTTATAACCTAATCTACACCGTTTTCAACGCAAGAAAAAATAAATATCTTAAAAATAAAACAAAATTTATGTTTATTTAAACAATAAGTTGTCCACGATTGGCTACTATGTTTGACACTTTTTATGCCATAGCGCCCGCATAACTTCAAATTAAAAGGTGAATTTTGAAATTTAGCCTCAGCCACAATGTATGGTTGATACGGTCCTGTAGTTTCTAGAGTTAAAAGTTATCAATAGTATCTAGCGCCAATATTTTAATAAAAACAAGCTTAGAGTAGATTACAATGTGTTTATATGTAAACGCGGAATTTGAACCTTATTAAGAAAATACCGAATGCCATTTTTTAATCAATATTTTACGCGAAGCTATGAGCAAATACTTTCCGTTAAGCAGTGGTTGTTTTTTTATGCATTTTTAAAACAAACTAAAAGCGCTTTAGCTTTGCGTAATGCAATAACTCTATTTTATTTATATGATTGATAAATTAAATTTATAATAACAGTTTCATTAGAATCAGTTGCAAAAGAGCAAAAGTTTGTCAAATATTTTTATTTTATATTTTTCTTAATAATTTCGATTAGAAATTTACAAAAAAAAATATTTGTATGTACTTTTTGTATTATAATAATTTTATGAATTATTTAACTTACCTCCATTCCAGCACAAACCACAATCAACTAAACTACCTGTCGGATTTGAGTTTACACCTAAAAAACATCGTTTTATTCCGCTTTAAAATTTATATTAATAAAATATAGAAATAAAAATTTTCAACAAGCCAATCAAAAAATGAATAATAATAATGAAACAAATAATGTATTAATTTTAATCCTGATTAAATGTTGAAATTTACCAATTTTAAAAATCGTAAATTTTTGGCGGATTTTTACCATTTACGGGGAACGAGGGAATTTTTGAGTATTATGTCTTCAACTAGATACGATTTGTGATCTTTTGACGTAACGTTGAGAAATATCGGCCCAGTGAGAGCGGAGAAAAAGTAGTGAGAGACACACAAAAAAAAGTAAACACATCATACCTTCTTAGCTTCGCGTTTTTATTATTCAAAAATTATTATGAATTTATTGTTTTTATATGTTTATTTTATCAATTAAGTACAATTATAGAATAAAATATACTTTAAAGATATACAAGAAAGAATTCCTATTTAATTTGTTATTGAACTAAATTGTGTAGATTTTTAAGTGTAGTTTGATTTATTTATTATTTTATCAAATAAAAATATAATTTCATATATAATTATAATTACCTGGAATCATTTCCAAAATCATAACGATAAATACTGCAAAAAATATACTTAATTTAATAACATTCATTTTTTAGTATTTTTTTTTATGCTATTATTTAGTTATTTAGTTTTTAAATGATCAGAAACTATTAGCAAAAGGAACTAGTTGTTATAATAATTAATTTATATAGTACATATACTAATAAAAAAAAATATGTGCCAATGAAAATTGGACAAGTTTTTTAAAACATGTGTTTTTAATTTATTTTAATTATAATTATTTGTATAGTAATATTACTACACAAATAATTACTTCATTTTTCAAATATATTTTCTTAATAATAAAAATGATCTATTATTATGTATATACCTTTTTTAAAATATTTCATTATGATTTATCATGATTATATAAAAATTGAAAAAATAAAATTCATACATGAACATAATTTTATGTACCATGAAAGAGTGTTTTGATGGTGGATAGCTAGCTGTTTTATGTAAAATGTAAATTTTATTGAAAATTACAAATGTATTGAATTATATAGAAAATATTAAAGTTACTTTCAAACATACTCTCCAACTAATAAAAAGTTTATAAGTGTCAGATTTTTACTGTTCTATTGTTTATTGATAGTAGCGTTAGTCATTGCCCTCTTAATAATTCTAATTTAATAGAAATATTGATTAATTAAAATACATTAAAATAATAAAACTATTTTATAATTAAACACTTGGAATGCAAAGGATATAAATGAAATTTAAAAAATTTGAGTAGGGTGTATAACTAGACTGAATATTAGTAATTCTGTTTAGTAAAAAAAATTGTAAAAAATACGTAAAAAAACATTTCTTTTACGTAACAGAATTACTAATATTCAGTCTAGTTATACAAAATTAGTTATCTAGAAAACAAAAAATTTAAACTCGATTTTCTGGATATTAAAAAAAAATGTATAAATTACACCTTGCATTCTTAACACTCCATTTAATTTAAAAATCCCTTGGAAGAATGAAGTCAACATGTAGACTTTTTGCGATAAAAGTAAGAATCATAATATCAATCATTTATACTTTCATACATATGATGGTATTATAATATGCACAATATGGAAAATTACATCCCTAGGACCCCTTTCTAATACAGCTTTGAATAAGTGTTTTTTTTAAATTATGGCTCTGACAGTATCAACTAGATACATTTTGTGTCTTTTAATATATTGTTGAGCAAAATTGGTTCAGTAGGAACAGAGTAATCGTAAATAGTAACACAAAGAAAAACAGCAGAATTAAGTCCATAGCTTATTAACTACCCATCAAAGCTATATTTACTAAAATATAGAATATAATATTATTCATAAATTTATTTTATCTTTTATTTTAAAAGAATTATAATGTAATGATCAAAATAATTAAACTGATTATAATCTGAGTTTATGGAATAAACTTTTATTCTTACTTGGTACATACCTGTATTTATTTTGTATATGTATGCATATACTATCATAAATTATCATGATAGTGATAAAAAGTTCCATCTAGTTCTTAAACAAATATTAATGAACCAATTATTTAATGGAATTTAAATGATGATTTTCTTTACTGAATAATTTAATATATCATTTAGTATATTTTATAATAATTATATTTTATTAAAAAATACAGTAATATTACAAAAAAAATGCTATCATATATATGAGTAACAAAATAATATTTTACTTTAAAAGTATTGTTCATTAGGGCATCTCTTAATACTAAAAAAATATCACAAGTTTTTATGACAAAAATAATTATTAAAAAAAAAATACTTAACATAAAAATATTACCATGAAATATAAAAAATTGGCAATATTGTAGTCTGTTTTTTATGAATCAATATCAACACAATAAAATTGCGTTCTTTTTAATACTTCTGAAGCATAAGTAGCTGCCTATAATACAAAAAAAAAAAAAAAAATATAGTCAGTTAACTAGTAATTAATTATAAAGTAATAATTAAATAAGACATGTTGTTCAAAAATGTTGAATAAAAGTATTTGAATTAAATTGAAAGCTTAGCAAAAACATACAAATCAAATTATTAAATAAATATAAAATTTAATTATTTTTTTAAAAATTAGGTTGATTTACACCAGCTAATTGTAATGATTGAACTGACGAATACTGAGGATTTACATAGCTATCTGTACTACAGGACACATTGATAGCCACTGTTAAAATTTATGTAAATACAGGAACTATTCGGAAAAATTAAGTATAACAGTGAAAATACAACACAAAAGACTAGGTTGGCTTGATCATGTACTAAGAGCTAGATCAATAACACATTACGTATTAAACCGGACACAGTAGGGTAGGAAACCGATTGGAAGATCTAAGTAAAAATTAATTGACAAAAGTAAGAAGGAATAAAAACAACTAGAGATAAATGATCCCTGTGAATTAGCTCTTGATAGAGAAAAATGAAGAGGAGAAGTTTGTTTTGCAGTTATGGACCTCAACAATCTCTAGAGTTGAAAGGAAAACAAAGAAGAAGTATTTTAAATATTATGCATCAATGATTAAAAATTGAAACAGAATAACAATCAATTAAAGTTTTTCCTTTTATTTTAATTGAAATAAAAAAAATCTATGATAATTTAGTCTTCTACTATTTTTATTTTTAAATCAAGTTCATAATTTTATATAGTGAAATTATTGAATATATAATTTATTTATTATATTAATAAGATTTATATTGAATTTTATATTACTTTAAAATTTCAACAATTATACCATAAAATAACATAAATTATTCAAGTGAAAAAAGTTAATAGATAAAAATTTATTTTGAATAGTAGTTATAAAATAATTATAACTTATTAATTAATATGTTGATTAAAAATAAATACCTGAACAACATTAGGACATGGATCATCTTTGAGAGTTTCAATGTCGTTTGTAAGAGTTTGATGCCAAATAGGTACAAGGCTATCTGTATTCAGTCTAGTTATATGTGATAAGAGTACACATGTTCTTTCTCTGATTGAAGCATCCTCATTATTCCGGAGCAATTTATGAAGTTCAACATTTGAGATTCTACCTGTATATTAAAAAAATAGTTTAATAGTAAAATTGAAAAATCTAAATGGCTTGAAATATGTTTTGGAAGAATTATAAATAAAAAACTAAATGCCATACACATATTTGATTCTAATAAATATGTTGTGCTTTAGACATCTATTTAAAATTTCTCAGAATATTAGTAACACTCATAGGCGTATCCAAGGGTAGTGTCAGCAAAATTAAATGTTTAGCTTGTGTACTACATAGACACAATTAAAATAAAAACAGGGTTAAATATATTCCATTCTAATAAAAAAAAATATATTTAAAAAACAATAAATATAAGTTTTAATTGAATTTTTGAGTTTTAAATGAGACTGGAAAGAGAGAGAGGTAAAGGAGAAGAGTCTAAAGCTCCTCTATCTTATTCAGACCCTAGGGTAAGACCTGCAAAAAATGTCTAAATATGTTATTGGTAAAACTTATAGATAATAATTAAACATAAGACTTATATTAAATAAATATATAATGAAAAAATACTTAAAAATTAGACTTCCAAAACTAATTGTATGGATTTAATTAAATCAAGTTATTAAGAAAAATAAGATGGTTGATTAAAATATTTGGCAAATGAAGGCATTTTATTAAAAACAATAAGATTGTAAATAATAGGGTTTGTCAACGATATATTTTAATTAAAAACCTAATCTAAGAATATAATTTTGTATTAATAAATATTATTTTTTGTCTTATCTCAATTCTATATTTCATAATATATTTTAATACAAAAAAGGTTACAAGATTATCACAAACTGATTTTGGCCTAATATCCAATAATACACAGAGTGGCTCAGTATTCTCTGAAAACTTAAAAAACTTTTGATCTAGTTAATATATTTTTTTTAAATAACAGTTATACGTTATATCTTAATAATTTACATTTTATTAAAAATATTAATTATTTTTAAATTTTAAATAAAATGTAAAAAAAAAATTGTATTAATAGTAAATGGTAGTAAATAGTTTGTATCATTTTAAAGTTTGTGAAAATTTCAATTTTCATGAATTATTTTATGGTATTAAACATTGAAATATATGTTGAGATAAGGACAGAAGAAAACTACATATTAAATAATAGGTATTGTTTGTGTTTCTATTTGAACTAAAGCTGGTAATTGTAATGTTTATAATTATTATGGAATAATCCATATTTATATTTATATTTAGTGTGAAAAGAATGTGTTTACTTTTATTATTTTTTATAAAACATAGCCAGCGTTTGATACCATAAAATAAATTTTAAAAAATTCAAATTTTTACAAAATTTAAAATATTACAGAAAATTAACTACCAAACATTAAAGAGAACTTTTTTCACCAAATTATTTTTTAAAATCTATTCTAAAAATGACTATTTTGAAATTTTTTAAAACTAAATTTTTTTATTTAATTATAAAAATGATATTATTTGCAATATTATTATAGTTCTCAAGTATATTAACTATTAAAAAACAAAAAATTAACTGGATCAAAAGTTATTTTAATTGTCATTAAATACTGGGCCACTCTGTATTTTATAACCGAGTAACCAAAATTCAAATATATTTTTTTTTAAATTTATTATTAATTATCACAATATTTCAAAAATAATTGATGTGATGGGAAAAATGAAAAAAGTTTATATAGGTATTGAATCAGAATATCAATATTGTTGACGAACGCTAGTAAACAGTGTATAATAAATCAGTAAATTTTTCGTAGTACCTTCCATGTTTTTTCCTAGAACAATGTCATGAACTAAATTAAAATTTCTTGGCATATATATTAAGGTTAGAATTAACACAGCAAGAGTATTTGTCACTAATTGAGTGTTTCCATGACTTAATGATAGACATTTTTGTATGTGATTCACAAGCTTTAATTCATTTATACTTTCACAGAACTGCATTAGACATTCAACAGGTTTGTCCAATGATAATCCTTCAATTAAAAGCAAAACAGATTCCAAACTACCTAATTCTTGAATACTAATTGTATCTGGAGGAGCAGGAGATACACAATTTCGAACAGTTAATTTAAAAGCATTTGAAAATGCTTTCATTAGCCCTCGAATTACATTAGATTCAATATAGATCTAAAATATTGATACATTTTTTTTAGAAATATTTAAAAACTATGAAAAGCTTTGTTTTTTTACTTGTTTTATAGCAACTTTATCATTTTGTTGAATGTTAGGAGTTACAAAAGGTAAAGTTAAAAGTGTAACAACATAATGTAGTAATTTAGAAGATACATTTGTACTATTCAGAGATGATAACACAACCAAAATAAAGCTTTTTTGGTTTATAGATGATACATTTCCTGATAATACCTATAAATAATTTAAATATTAAAATATTTTGCTTTCCTATTCATAAGTTGATATATTTTACTTCAGAAGCACTTTGACGTAAAAAAACAATCCATTCCTCACTCATAAAATCATTGTTGTTTGTGTTATTGCTAGTAGAATTGGTTTTATTTGAACATATATCTAGTTCTGGACAGGTTTCAGAACACCAGCTAGATTGACTAGACCTTAAATCTTCCTCAGTTCTAAAAAAAGTATACTTTAAATTATTTTGTCATATGTTAAATTATTAGGATTTATACAAGTGCATAATAAAAAACCCAGCACAGGGGGGTCGCGGCACAGTGGTGACGTGGCATAGATGGATCAAGTATAATGATATCTGACAGTGATTAAAATCACTATAAAAAAAAAAACGTTTCGATGCAAATCTTTAGATAGTGTTTAATTTTAAAAAATTGGTGGATTATTCCAAAAGCTTCATAAACTGCTAGTTCCTTATTAATATCCTGATTAAGATAAAGTATGTCAAATGAAAAAGGGATTATTAAAAAATATTATTTCTCATAAAAAAATAATGTTGATCCATACACTTTTCAATATGTCATAGCATTATAAAGTTAAAAATGTAAAAAATAAAATCGAGAATTTTCATACAATAATAGCATTCGGTAGCCATTTTCACCGTGAAGATAAAATAAAGTCTGAAATTTTTTTTTCTAGCATAATAAAGTAAATTACATTAGCTTTAATTTAAGATATATATAAAAGTGTCAGACTTTCCAGAACACTTTCAAAATTTAAGTTGAAAAAGTAAATTTTTTGTGAAAAAGTTGTCATTTTAAATCCCCCCTGTGGGCAGGTAAAGGGTCAGATATAAAAAAAATATATACCAAATGATAGGTAAAGACATCAAGCATCTATAAAAAAAAATTATATTGATCCATACATCTTTCAAAAAGTTATAGCATTATAAAGTTAAAAATATAAAAAAGAATTTTATTACAAAAATCGTATTTTTTTTATTAACTTTGATGTCTGTTTTCACCGTGAAGATAAGATAAAGTCCGAAATTTTATTTTTTCATGATAAAGCATATTACATTAGCTTTAATTTAAGATATATATAAAAGTGTCAGACTTTCCGGAACACTTTCAAAATTTAAGTTGAAAAAGTCAATTTTTTGTGAAAAAGTTGTCATTTTGAATCCCCCCCTGTAGGCAGGTAAAAAGTCAGATTTATAAAAAAAATATACCAAATGATAGGTAAAGACATCATGCATCTACAAAAAAAAGAATTATATTGATCCATACATCTTTCGAGAAGTTATAGCATTATAAAGTTAAAAATATAAAAAAGAATTTTTTTACAAAAATCGTATTTTTTTTATTAAGTTTAATGTCTGTTTTCACCATGAAGATAAAATAAAGTCCGAAATTTTTTTTTACCATTATAAAGTATATTACATTAGCTTTAATTTAAGATATATATAAAAGTGTCAGACCTTCCGGAACACTTTCAAAAGTTACGTTGAAAAAGTTCTACTTTCTATATGCATTTTTATGTTTTGAATCCCCCCTGTATTTAGGGAAATGGTCCGATTTAAAAAAACAGTATGTCGAATGAAAGATCTATATAAATACTACTTCTCATAAAAAAATTGTAATGATTCATACATTTTTCAAAAAGTTATAGCATAATAAAGTTAAAAATGGAAAATACAAAATCGAAAATTTTCACACAAAAATAGCATTCGGTAGCCATTTTCACCATGAAGATAAGATAAAGTCCGAAATTTTTTTTTTTCATGATAAAGCATATTACATTAGCTTTAATTTAAGATATATATAAAAGTGTCAGACTTTCCGGAACACTTTCAAAATTTAATTTGAAAAAGTTCTACTTTCTATATGCATTTTTTAGATTTGAACCCCCCTCGTGTGTAGGGAAATGGTCGGATTTAAAAAAACAGTATGTCGAATGAAAGATGTATATAAATACTACTTCTAATGAAAAAATTGTATTGATCCATACATTTTTCAAAAAGTTATAGCATAATAAAGTTAAAAATGGAAAATACAAAATCGAAAATTTTCACACAAAAATAGCATTCGGTAGCCATTTTCACCATGAAGATAAGATAAAGTCNTTTGGTAGCCATTTTCACCATTCAGACAAGTCCAGAGGTCAATTTTTTTTTTTTCAAATTAAAGTATGTTACATTAGCTTTAATTTAAGATTTATATATAAAAGTGTCAGACCTTCCGGAACATTTTCAAAATTTAAGTTAAAAAAATTAATTTTTTGTGAAAAAGTTGTCATTTTAAATCCCCCCTTGTTGTGAGGTTAAGGGTTAAATTTATGAAAAAAATATACCAAATGAAAGGTAATGATATTATGCATCTATATAAAAAAGAATTATATTGATATGTTTATTTTTGAAAAAGTTATGGCACTTTTAAGTAAAAAAAATTGAAAAAATTTCGAAAATTAGCGATTTTTAAATTTGTAAGTTTTTTTGAGGTTTCCCCCATTTACGGGGAACGAGGGAATTTTTTTTCAATTTTTAAGGGTAATGTCTTCGACTAGATACGATTTGTGATCTTTTGACGTATCATTGAAAGAAATCGGTTCGGTGAGAGCTGAGAAAAAGTGGTAACAGACACAAAAAAAAAAAAAACACATCTTAGTAAAACCAATACCTTCTCAGCTTCGCATGGAAGCTAAAAGTAAGATGTGGTAAGACTTATAAGGGTGTTACTTTATGAGCAAATTGATAAAATAAATATGATATAATATTAAAAATTTTAAATTGATGAATAAAAAAATATACCAAAGTCACATGTATGGTATATTTAATTCATATTTAGTTTACTATACCACAGCTAATGATAATTGATATATTTACGTGTTATCTATAGATGTTGAATCTTGACTTGCAGATGAATCAGTAGATTGTAATTCTTCATTTATTTTCATAGTGTTTAAGGGAGATACAATATCATCTAGTTGTGAAGAAAATATATTTTCTTGATATTGATTGAGAGTATATACTCGATTTTTCACAAAATCATGATGTAAAAGAGCAGGCCAAGTAAGCCTTTCTAAAGGGTTTTTTTGTAATAATTGCTCTAAAAAATTTTGACATGCAGGTGAAACTGTTTTAGGCCAAACAATTGGTTGATCTTTCATCATTTGTACAAGATGCATCAAACATTTTGTGTTAAATGGTGGTTTGCCACAAAGTAAATGATAAGCTATGCATCCTAATGACCTTAATTAAAGAAAAAACATTTCATATTAATTTATTAAACATTTAAATTAACCAGGAATTTACCATAAATCAGCATTGTGATTATAAGTAGGAGGTATAATTGGAGAATTTATAACTTCGGGAGCCATATATAAAGGGGTTCCTTTTAATGATGCTTGTGTCAATACTTGAGTACCCGTTAGCATTAATCTAGCTAATCCAAAATCACATAGCTTAGCTGTATCATTATGATCAAGTAAAATATTTGGTGGTTTTAAATCCCTGAAAATATATTTAAAGCATTTTTATTATGTTTAAGTGTAATATTTAATAAATCAAATCATAATAAAACAAGTGATATATTTAATGCTATAACGTAAAAATTCTGTAAGTTTAATATAATAGTATAATTTTAATACATTTTAAATTATGTAAATTAAATAAAAAATGAATAAATATTTACATACCTATGCAAAATATTATTTTTATGTAAGTAATGCAAGGCTGATACAAGTTGACAAATTATGTTACGTGTTCTGTCTTCACTCAATATTCCTTCAAATTCAATTATTTCTTTTAATGATCGTGGAACAAATTCCATAACTAATGCAATCTATATATGATTCATTATAAAAATTATAAGATGAATAATTATTTAATAGCTAGCTTCTATGCAAAAATTATTTTTTAATATTAAAAATGAACTTAGACTAATATAAATATCATTGATGTTTACCCCACTTTCATTTCCAAATGATTCTATCATTTTAACAATATTAGGATGATGGAGTTTTTGTTGGATATCAACTTCTTGCTGTAATGTTTTCCATTCATCTAACTAATAAAATTAAATTTAAGTTAGCATAATGATATTGTTTTAATATTTAAACTAATAAAACTATGTTAACTAATACCTTATAAATAAATTTAAATGCAACAACAGTATTGCTTTTGGTATGTAAAGCTTTAAAAACTTTACCAAATGAACCTTCTCCAATTTTATCGCCCAATTGATAATTATGGAAATGAGCCCAGTATGCTAGACGTTCATCAGCTACCATAGCTGGATATTTAAATTCTTTTGGCATACCCAATGAAGGCTCGCGTGGCCAATAGTTACCATTCATATTGTTGTAGAAAAGCCACTAAATTAAACAATATTGGACAAATAATAAAATATTGTTAGTTATTGGAACTAGTTCCATTAATTTACACATATGTAAAATCATTCTACCACAAAAAAAAGTAATAACCACAATTTTTTTAAAAAACTAAAACTAAGTTTCTTGAGACTACTTTAAGAATATTCATTATTATTTCTAAGTATAACATGATTTTTAGTTTTATATTACAAATAATATCCTTGATTTGTTGTTGACATATCACTTGAAATTGACTGTTTAAAAATGTGATAAATAGTGATAATATTACTTTGTTGTTATTATTATGTATTATACAGGCGTACCAATATTAGGGAACCATTCGCTCTAATATTTCTAATTTATTTAACATTTAAAGTAATAACATAATACTTGTAACATTGTTTCGAAAGACTTATTTAAAAAAAAATCTTAGATATAAATTAAATTTGTAAAGAGACAACTTATTGACACAATCTGGAAAAAAATGTTGAAAGCGTATAGAATAATAACGTAAAATTAGCCTCTTAAGATGAACAATTATTTATTTTTGTTGAGTTTTTTTTTAAGAAGATTGTAAAAAGTCCCTATATTTTGCCATAAAAATATACAAAATGTGTTAGTAAGAAATCACTTTTAGAAATTATAAAATATTTTTATAATTTTACAACTCAAAAATTAAATTAATTTATAATACTTGAAAAGGTTTTAAATATATAAATACTATATTTACTGTTCAATTTAGAATAATAAATAAATTATAGAATATTCTAATTTTTGTAAATTGTTTGATGATAATTCGTTATTATTTTGTCGATTAAAAAAATTGGCTACACTGTTGTGAAGTGGTCTAGTTGCAGTGTGCTAGAGTCTACCGAATACCGAACTACAAGAAAAAGATCATTAATATATGTATGGTATAAAACTTCATATTTCTTATAGTATAGTTGGTTTCAATGACAGTAGCAGAATTTTGGAACCGTTGTTACTATTTCTGCTGAACAGCAGAATCTGAAAACTTGGTGTGTGTACTTTCTTACAATTATTATTTTTAATTGTTTCTGTTATTGAAACTATGGTTTAGTCAATATTTTGATATCGTTTACAACTATTCAACTGATTTTACAAACCATAAACACTAATTAATTGTTAAATTTTTTATTTGCTTCATAGATATACTAGAAACTAAAAAATTGTTTTCTAATTGTCGCCGAATATAACGAAACATGAAATTCAGGAAAGGAAAGAAACCTCAAAATGGACAAAGTTATACTGGGTGAATATAAAATTAAATAGATTATATATTATGTTTACAACAATTTTTAATAAAATATATAATTAAAATTAAAATTCGTTAATTTAAGTAATTTATTACTAAATAACTCTTAAATTATTCCAATATTTATGATAAGATATGTTGATTTATTGAGTTTTCATTAACAAGATTATTTTATCAGTCGTTTCAGGGCACAACAATCTGGTCCAAGAAATCGTTTGCGAACAGTTGCAGCAAACAAAGTAGCTAAGGTCAAAAGACTGAAGGAGATAAAAAAGCGAGGAAATGGAGCAAAATTAAATAATAGAAAAAGTGTGTCCACAACTAAGAGATTAAATACTAGTAATGTAATGGATGCTAGAGTGAAGCTTTTACAAAAAGCATTAGTTACACCAACTAAAATAGTTGATGCAAGACAAAAGTTAACTAAGCAAAAAGATGCAAGAGAAAAGATTCAGGAACGGCGTTTAAAGTCATCACATGAAGTAATTATCGTCCTTATATATTTGATAAAATTTTAGATTTTAAAAACGAAAAAATACATTATTCATCTGATGATAATTTAATTAAGTAATTCTTACTAACAATATTGTAAACAGGTTAAGATTCTGTTAATTTTTCGAGTTTTCTTTACATATAATCTATACTATAAAAAGTTTAAAAACTGCTAGATGTTTGTTGATTTATGCATCAAAATTTTATTCTCAATTAACCCTTCAATAGATCTATAATATAAATCTTACTAAATCTCTACGTTGATTTCTTAATCTTTGGATTTTACTAAAATTTGAGTATAGTTAATATGAATAAAATGAAGTGGAACTTCTTTCAGAGTCATTCAACTGATATTGAATATTAGGTTTGTATTGAAATAACATAAAAAAATACACATATTTTCTATTAAAATTAATTAAATTTATTATTATTATTAATTTAATTTTTATCAAATTATCAAACTTAAAATATTTTCATTAAAGTTTAAGGTATCATATTATTAACTATTATATTAAATAATTACTATAAATACAATAGTATTAATATTATAATATAAAATAAAATTTTTTATGTTCTTGTGAATGTGTTCTCTTTAATAAAGACAAATGTAACTTAATTTTTTTCTGATTATTATGTGAATTGTGACTTCAAAGATTTGAAAATAAGCATATAAAGAAATAATTCAATAATTCTAACCCGACAGTTTTAGGATCTTAATTTCTACCATAAATTATGAAAACTAGGTATTGTGCTATAAAAAATAATAAGTATTATTATCAAATGTCAGTAAGTCATATGCAACACTCTGGCCATTATTTGGTGGTACCTTTTTTATTAATTAATTAACAAATTTTAATTTTTAAAATTTAGAATCTGCCTGATATCCAAAAATATAATACAATTAAATTTAATTATGTTTTAAACATTTTTTAACTATTCTCTTTCTTTCCAAATTAATACTTTCACAATTTTTTTTAAGTAGTTATAGAACACTTTCTAAGGAAATTGTTTCATTAACCAATGGTTTTGTTCATAATTTAATTTAAATAGAGTAGTAAATATATATATATTTTTTAAGAATGATCAAAATGCTGGTATATCAAGAAGATTTAATAATCAAGGAGGACGTGTCAAGATTGATCGCCGTGGTATTCTAACAGTTAAGTCAATTTTAGATGAAAGATCTGATGTACATCGTCCTAATCCTAGAAATAGACAAAGGACTGAAGTTGGTCAAAGGCAGTACAGTGGAGCTATTAGAAGAAGCACTAATAATACATATAACTCCAATCTTAATACGTTCAGAAGTAAAACTATAAATTTCAATAATAAGATAAGTTTTTTTTTTTAATTCTTTTATAATTTATTTCTATAAAGGTGACAGACCTATCGAAGAACTAAGGGCTCCTAGACGTGATGCAAGGACACCAAGAAGACCAATACCTAATACTAGTGGTCTAAGAAGACCAGTTGATAGATCTACTAGATCTACTCGTATCAATGAAAAGCCCTATAGTAGACCTATGGCTATGGATTATGATGATTCTATGGAGTGGGAAGAAAATAGTAGATACTCGCCTACTCCTGTATGTAAATTCTAATAATTCAAACCCAACATTGTTTGGTGCGGTAAAATATCAGAAGTAATATACTGATGTTGAGCTGTAGTTGTTACTGTATGTGACAAAATGGGTTATTGAGATTATCTGTAGTTACTTTGCATTATGTCTCTATAATGATTAACAACCCTTGTATTAAAAAAAAAAACCAATTAAATCTTTTAATTTGTATTATTATGCCAAACTGGAAATTTTTTACAGTGAAGTTAATTAATATTGATATATTGATAGAGCTCTATTTTCAAGCAAACTATCTGAACCAGTTCATATTATGTTTTCAATGGAATTCATAATAAATAAATAATTGTCTGGCTAATATTGAAGTATGTTATAGGTGTTGCGAAGAAATATTGGAAATTCTATGTTTAGTCGTGACAATTATCATGAAGAAATGCTTGATAGTATTTCCAGGTATGTTTATATTTCTAGTTCTTATTAATATAACTTTAATTAATTTTAGTGTAATATTTTTTATTTAAAACGTGGTAAGTTTTTTTTTCTAAAATATTTAATTTGTTTAGAATGTTAAATTCTCTCCTTATTGTTCCATTTATTATTGTATATGAATCAACTGTGTTGAAAAACACTTAAATAAACTTATTTTTTAGATTCCAATTTTTTCTGAAAATTAATTTTATATACTCGTGTTAAATTTATATATGAAAATTATTTCTTTAGGGGTCAAAGAGGTCTTAGTGAAACATTACGATCAAGATTAGATTCTCATCAATCAGTTACTAAACGTACTAGACCTAGTGGTCATAAGATTGTTATATCTAATCTGGAACCGTCTGTTACATCAGAAGATATTAGAGTGAGTTAATTATTTGATTAATTACCTTATTATTACAAATGATTAAAAATTACATTAATTATTGATATATTTTTAAATGAAATGCTAACAAATAAGTTTAATGTACAATTTTTTTTTTTTATTAATATAATTTTTTTATTTAATTGTAGGAATTATTTGCTGACATTGGTGATCTTTTAGAATCCAGAGTTGTTAGACCTGGTGTTGCAGAAGTAATATATGAACGTCGAGCAGACGCTATACAAGCTGTTGATGTATATCATAATAGACAGCTAGATGGAAGGCCAATGAAATGTGATATGGTTAGAAATGCTGGTTCAAATGCAAACTCAATTTCTGTTTCAGGGTAATTATAAACACAATAATTTACTTACAAAAATATTTTACCAATTTTTTCAATAGGTCAAATCGTAGAATGCCTTCACGAGCAGCTGATATGTATAAACCATCTGCTTATGTTACATATGATATTGATGCTGTACACACAGCTCTATTTAATAAATAAAGTAAGAAGTCTTATTGTGTAACTTTATGCTAGAAATTTTATTTCTTAAAACATTTTCTAGTATAACCCATTTTAATGTATTTTAATTAATTGATATTCTCTAACCACAAGACATTTTAATTTTGTTAATAATTTTTTTTTCCCAAAATACATTCTATATACTTCTGAATTTAGTTTATGTAAATGTAAAATTCAAATACATTAAGTTTTGACATCATTTTGTTTTTATTTATTCTTTTGTATAATTTTAGGCAAATATAGTGTCAAATAAATTTATAAGTGATAAAAGTGCCAAAATTCAAAAACAATTATTTTAACCAAAATGATTTATATTAATTAACTTCAGTAATACTTTGATATGTAGACACATGTGCCAAAAGCTGTCAAATTCTTATTGGAAAACACTTAAATTACTTAGTCTCAACTATTAACAGATATTTTAATGCCTACTATACAATATTTCTAGTGTATAATTCATTATAAGATGTTCCATTGAAAATGTTTGATACCAACATTTATCGTATTTTGGTGTATTAGTCTTTAAATGGTCTTTTTGAAAATAATAGACTTGCAACTATAAAAGATTTTAATCACAAATAAAAATTTTAAAAATAAATTTGGTAAGGATCAAATTGCTACTATAAATTCTTTAAGATCTAAATATATATCTGCTAAAGGTATTGATTAAATAAATGTTTTGGTTTTGAAATAAATATCAACCCAGGTTATTCTATGTTAAACAGAAGATATTGATTTAATTTGTGTTAGAAAATATTATAATTTTGAAAATTTATATTGAACTATTGTGGATTTGACAATTGGTTTAATTTTTAAATAGATAGTTTATTTTTTTAATAAAAAATGTTTTCAAGTCATATTAAAGTAAAATTAAACTTTATGTAGTATTATTTGATTTTGTCAAAATTATTTTTCATTTTTCATGAATAGTCTATATAATTTTTTTCGAACAGATTTAATTTTTGTTTATCAAACAATTATTTGTTGAAATACGTTTTTTAATGGTTTCAAACACAAATAAGTAAAATTAATTTATTAATAGACAAATAATATTCTGTATTAATCTTAAAATAAGATTGATAATGAAGTTTTATAATCGAGTCTATCTATATTTATTAGTCTTTTGACTACACAAGTTTTACATTATATCATTCATTTTATGAAATTAATCGTATTTTTTTGAAAAAAATGTTTTTTTTTTTATTTGTATTTATCTGTATAAAATCATTTTGAAATACACATAATATGAATTAATCAATTGTGAAAAGAATTTTTTGTCTCTTAAAATTAGGAAAAGTGGATGGTTGGGTTTAACAAATGTCACTTCATTTATTTTGATGTGCATCATACTTATCAGTTAATTATTTGAGGTTTATAGAAGTTCATTGTTAGTGTTATAGTACACTAACGTTAAGTGTGAAGTGGCCACTACTATGGCTACCGATAAATTTTACATGATCACTAGATTTGCCGCTTACTTAGTCAGCTGTCGAGCAATTGTTAGCGATTGGTAGTGGTTTACACGTTCTATATATGATAGCAGTCAGCAGCATTTAAGTACAACTAAGCATGGCTTGACAAACAAGTTGGTTAGCGATAAAAACGTTTAATTTATATTACTAAGATATGGTCTTGACACCATCAATGGACACTAATGAATTGTGTCTGGAAATTCCCTGTCTCCGCATAAATCCCTGGTACCTTTCTGGCTATTCATCAGTTGAATTATTCAATGTCATAGCTAGCAAAAACTATTTGTCCTATAAAGTCCTGGTACATTTATTCAAATTTTTTCGATGACTACTATGTGAAATTCGTGTATTATTTGTGCTGATTATGTTGCTTATACAAGGCCCCTTATTCTAATAGTTCTTTTGCTCTCAAAAGTTAAATAAATAAAATATTAAAAAATGTCGTTTTATAAAATTTTATGGTTTTATTAAAACTTCAAAAAAATCATTATGTCAAATACTAAAAATAGGTATCACAAAGATGATTAATTAAAGAAATAAATTACAACCTAGCGGTTTTTAATTAAAAAATAAAATATAATTTTTTTAATTTTGTTCTATCGTTGAATCAAATAGAGATTTCAATGATAAATGTATAAAAATGAAAAAAACTTTTAATACATACAATTTATGGTCGAATTTAAATAAGAGTTGAGAAAAAGCACATATAAATTATTTTAAGTAAATTATATTATAATTTTTTTATTAATGGATTTGTAAGTACTTTTAAAACATTTTTTAAGATTCATTTAAATAGTTTTAATTTTGGTTAAACGTCTTTAATTAAAGTGTAACACAACTGCATATTTATAATATGTAAAAAAAGATTTATTTTATATTATTATTGGATACAATTAAATAATAATAATTTTTTTACATAGTTACTATATTGTTTATTTTGAGGAAGTTGTTTTCGATTCGATAAATAGATTTAGTGGTCAGTTTTACATTTGATACTTTGGCGAATGTTTGTTGAATTAAATTTAATAAGTTCTCTTCGATATTGGAAGCAAATTGAATTCGTGGACACAGTTTTTTTAAAAATAGTGTGAACACATAAAATATGTCACGCTACAGTTTATCTTCACCAAGTAGCAGCTCATCGTCGTCTAGTAGCGATGATTCATCGGACGAAAGTTCGACTTCAACTGGAAGCTCATCGTCTTCCAGTTGTAGTTCAGCTTTGTCAAGTGCTGGCTCATCGTCGTCAAGTTATAGTTCATCGTCGTCTAGTAGCGATGATTCATCGGACGAAAGTTCGACTTCAACTGGAAGTTATAGGCAAAGTTTTAACTTAAAACGCAAATTTGATGAAGATTTGGATAAACCTAATAAAAAAATGTAATTTCTTTATTATAATACAAAATCAATTAGTAGATTATATTATTTAATTTATATATATTTAATAATATATATTTAAGATTTATTTGTCTAACAATGTCAATTTTAAAGGGTAACGCGAAGAAACTCGAACATTTTAATATTTTCTTTTGAATCGGGATGATAAAAAATTAATACATTCTCGAGAAATTTCATACTAACTATAAACTATTTTTAAGGTGTTGTGAGTTTCCGTATGGGGTTGACAATGATTGGTCATTTAAAGATTACCAGTGGCTGTTGGATCCTGAACGTGAGCCTAATGTTACTATGAGTATTAATAACTCAATAATTGGTATGTAATGGTTTTAAATGTGTTTAATAATCAATTATATTTAAAATACACTTGACTATATAATTATTATATAGTCAAACAGATCGTATCATATTTGTGAAAATATTTCTCACTCCGTTTTACTTTATAACGGAGGGGAAATATCTTATTTATAATGTCTGTAATAAGTAGAATTATTTTTGTTTCAAAAAAAATTGTTTATAACTTATTTTAGATTTGCCCGCAGAGCATAAAATAACGGTCACTAGAGAAACAGATGTCGGTATAAAAACGGAGAAGGATATTTTAGCTGGCGTGGAACTAAATTTTAGCAACTCTGTAGACTATCAAAATTTTCACTCGAATTCTTTTATCGTGGAAAATCCTAGTGATCCACAAAAACCAAAGGTAGTAAATATATTTTCAAATCCGATTTCCTTGTCAGGCGATCACGTAGTTACACACGAAGGATATGAAAATCCTAAAGTTATAGTTGAAAATACTTCTGTTAGAGACATAGATGTCAGTACCGCAATGGAGTATGTGTCAACTGACTTTGCTACTAACGTAGGACCAATTATAAGCAACTCAATTGATTGTCAACATGTCAATTCGAATAATGGGGAGTAGAACACCAGTTATTCTGAAAATTTTGATTTAACTAGTATCTCACAACACTATGTTTTCAAACCGGAGGTTAACAATTTTTCAAAAAGTGTTGTTGAAAATAATACAGATATCCTCTTTACAAATGTGGTTGATCGATAATCTGTTTTGAACGAAGATATACCTATCGACACTAAAAATAGTCAATTGGATATGAATGTTGATATTAATAATAACTGCTCGGAGCCAAGCACTTCGAATAATGAAATGTATTCAAACACTAGTGGTTATAGTCAAATGTAAAAAGTTTACTCCATGGGGAGAAGATTGGTTTTATACGACCCATACCGATATGTATACAGGTCTTAGGTATATAACTTTGATGAACCCTTTGAACGAATTTCCGGTTAGTTATGAGGAAACTATTGATCTCATAGATTCAGACGACGATGAGCAACCTGTTATGTACAAGAGTACTACACTTGGAAAAGAAGTGCAGTCAATGAGCGCACTTGCCCACAAAAATGTTCACGAAAATAATTGTGATGGAGATCAATCTTTCATTGTTGATCATTATAAAAAAATCGTTATAGGTACTACCGAAGGTATCAGTTTCGTATACGATTGGATTCCAAAAATGAGCGAGGTAATTTTTAAGAATGACAGCGTATAAAACTAACTAGAGATTTATCTTAAGTTAGAAAAATTAACGATGTTATAAATCGCTGTCAAGTTTTCATAATGTGACTATTAAATGAACAACTTATTATTATTTTTGCGTTAATCGGAAATGTATTGTTTTATTTTTTAACGATTGTTGTATTTTTAAAAATTATTTCATCTTTTTCTCGCGTTTTCAAAATTATTTTCTATTTTATACGAGTTGATTTATTTGTTAATGATAAAATATTGATAAATAATTTTAAAAAAATGTATTCTATTATTATTATTTTGTTGATTAAATTTTATATTTGATAAAAATGTGTACTGATTTATTTCAAAGCTAAATTTTTTGTCTACCACTCTAGTAATTAATTGTAATGATCATTGATGAATCAATTCTGTAAATAAAATTTATGATTTATATGAATGAAAAACAATGGTAAATTTAAATATTTAGTTTACACTTTAATAATACTACTTTGATAATTAAATTGTGAAAATAACTGATGTTTGGTAATTGATTTAAAAACAAATTATTTTTAAATTACAATTGTACTTTTATTTTTTCGTTTTATGTACATACAATAGTTTTTTCACATTAAAGATCATTAAAATAAAAATCAAAACTTCATTATAATTTTTTAAGTAAATCTTAAAAAGAAAAACATAACCCTACAGATTGACACTTGACGTGTTAATAACTTAATATTCTTGTTAGAAAAATAATTACAAACAAATAATATAGGTTAATTATTAAAAAATTGATTTAACACGTTTTATTCAAAAATGCACCTTTTATAAGTTGTATGGATTTGACAATAATAAAAATGTATTTTTGATACAGAATATTATCAATTAAAAAGTTGAAAAAAATAACCAACAAAAGTAAAACGTGGAAAGTACTGTTCGGGATTTTCCGTAGGAATTAAAAAAAATTATAACAACATTTAGTAACTAACTTATAGTATCATTACCAATATATAAATATTATTATTATGCTTATTATCAATCAAATCACATTTTATGGAAGTTCTGTGAATGTGGTCTGCTAAGTTTTTTCCTATCCAGTCTCAACACTTCGGCGTACGATTTATCTAGAAGTTTCAGTTTGGCCACCTCTTGTGAAGCGGTGCTGGCGTATGTCGTTTCCAATTTGGGCGATCCCTGTTGGGTAGCTGAGTCATCCTTTGGTACACACCATGTGGCACGGTTTTCTAAAGGCTTTTCTCCGCTGCCGGTACGCCTTTGTCGCCGGGTCACGTGATCGGTCCATCTGAATTCCAAAAGATGACTAATGTCCTTTGAGTGCTGTTGTCTGGATCCCCCTGATCGTCGGTGATGATTACGTTGTTTCTTTTGTTTTACTGCCGACAGTTCTTCGATGATATCACGTCTACAACGCGGTTCTTCTATTGCGGTCTCCGATCTGGTTTCCGAAGGTTCTCGCCGTTCTTGTAACAAATGTAATTGTTGATGGCGTTTATGCCGCCTTTCCCGAGCGACTGCTGGCTGCTGTTGCTGCTTTTGCTTTTTTTTCTGTGACGGTTCCCGAGATCGGTGCTCAGACAGGGTAACAGCTTCAATGGATGACACTAACGGGTTGTTTTCACAAGCTGGTGTTGCTGGTGGTACTTTTGGTACAACGATTCTATCAATGTCGTTTGTTTCTTCGTGAATGCCGGGAGACAATGCCGAGACGTCGTCGTACAACAAAGGCAACATCTCGCCTTCATCCTTAGCCTCGGCTGCGCGTTTCAGGACAGCAAATATCTCGCGGAAAAGTTGTCTGTACTCGGGAGTCTTTCGGAAACGGCTCTCGATTGGACTGGCATTGTCGTAAATGCTGAATCTGCAATCGTCTCCGTCCGATATGGTACATAAGAACGAACCGGTGAAGAAAGTCTCGGTTTGCGTGCCTTTGTTGCTTGTTTCATCCGAGAATCCTGACGATGACGTTTCTGTTTCAGAAAAGACGTGCTGTTTGCCAGCGGCTGGCGTATCAGCGGCCTCGTCTTCGCTGTCCGTCGCATCTCCGTTGAACGACGAGAATTGAGCGGATATCTGCAATTCTTTGTGAAGTGAAACTCCTTGGTCCTTACAGCCACTGTTGTTGAAAGCATTTTGTTTCTGTTGAATCTTCAGCAGAGCCTCATACTTGTCCACCAAAATTCTGTACGGATTATCAGCCGAATAGTTTTCCCCGAGCGTTTCCTAATGAAAAAAAATACATATAAATTACGATAAATAAATTAAATTGAATATGTTAAAAAAACCAAAACACTTTTTAGATAATTATTCACAATTAAGTTGAAATTATGACAAACTGTGCTTGTTTAAAAGATAAAAGTAACAAATTAATTTATAGGAAGTTAACATTAGAAAATTGTAGTTATCAATTTTTTAGCATTACACGATGATGATATATTCTGTTACTTCTCTTATGCACAAATAAAAATGAATTACTGAGATTTTACAGTTTTGATAACGGAGCCTTGCGATGGATAAATGACTTAAATACTATGAGTAACAACTGGAAGTATATGCATTTATAAATTTTGTTTTGAAGGGCCACAAGTTCGTGCAACTTTGTAATATTAACATATTAATACATATAGTAGCATTGAAATATTTTTTGTTTTAAATTATCCTAATCCCCCATCCAAATTATAACCTGGTAACAATACATCACTAAGTTTTCAAGTCAATTGATAAAAATGTTTACTGGCTGATGGTGTGTTCGTAATAACTTATCAAAATATATAAATGCATATAATTCCAAATCCTAACACGAGATTTAATTATAGTAAGCAGTTATGGAACACACCGACGTACTTTGTAGGTCGAATTCATAAGTAAGAAAAACGTGTGTATTATAGCGTATTCAACAATATATTTGGCTAAACCATCCCATAGGTTATTGGTCGCCATTATTAAGTAATGAAACACGCATAGGACACTTGCCAATTTGACTGACAGAGGATTCCCCTTGTAGTGTAAAATTATCATTGCACGTTGAATGACTCACCGTCCGTTCTTCTTGTGTGATATCAATCATTGATTTTTTTACTAATGTACAATTAAATCATCATTATGGCACTATTTTAAGTTAAGATATTCAGTTACACGTATAGAAGAAGTTAAAAAATAAAAATAAAATTGGACGTCTCGTCAAAGTTCCTATTACAAAGTTTAAAAACCTCGTTTCATGTATTCTGATCAGAATTTTTTAAACGATTTCAGTAGTCAATGAAATTTTCGAAGATTTCAAGCTATAAAGTCTTAAAGAGAATTTTCGGTCTGATAACTCACTTGTAATTGTTGTAACACTTCGTCTTTATGAGTTTCTACGTATGATCCGATTGCACTAATATTGTCTATGTCGTCGTCATCATTATATACCGAATATTCATCCAACATATTGGCGTCGGCACTACGTTGACAACGTCTACACAAATTACCTTGTCTATATGAACATATGATAAATTTTGATTAAGTTTCCGATTAACAGACGAAATATTATTTAGTTTGACTAAGATGAATACCTGATCTCTTCGAGATAAACAATTTGATCTTGAAGGACTTTAAGTTCTTCGTCTTTCTGTTGCATCACACTAACCTTCTCTTCCAAATTCGTATTTTCCTGACAAAAAAAAAAACATGAGTAAACCTATTGTAGTATATAGATACTCTTTACATACTTGTAAGAGTAAAGACATATTTTGTTCAAGTTCAGTCACTTTGCGCTGTTCTTTGGCCCTTTGCATTTTGACATGCTCAAGTTGCGATGCTAACTTGGTATAATCGTCATGGTTCGCTATGGCATTTGGAACGGAGCAGCCATCGTTGGCCGAACTGCAGTCTTCTTTTTTCGCATTGCCCATGTCATTGACGAGGTGCTGCAACTCTTCACATCGGCTTTCCAAACCTTCGATTGTCTCATATAAACTATAAACAAGCCAAAATATATTATTAACGCACTGGAGTAATGATAAAATTTGTCTTACCTTTTAATATGTTTTTTGTCGTTTAAGTTTTCCTGGACTAGCCTCTGGTTATTTCGCTCGAGGTCCTGAATACTGATCTCTAGCTGCTCATAAATTCGCAATCTAGAATCGTTCACTTCCCTTAAAGCGGTTGTCTGTTTGGTTAGGTACTGCCAATACAATAAACAATCGTTTACAACCAATTCATATAAATTTACACCGGTAGCCTGTTCGTTGGCCTTTTGAAAATTGGCCCAATCACACAGGCTAGTCATGGTGATTTAATAAGTTTCAAAATAAATACAATATTAATACAATTCAGAATTAAATAACTATTGGGGAACCGTATTGTAAGTGAAGATTGAAACTGCAGCAAAGGATAATGTTCGACTGCCGAAAGGTCTCTAACTGAGATCATCTCCCGCACAGTAAGCGACCCTTTGGATCGTTGCCAGAAAATGTGTGTGCATGTCTATTAAAAAAATATTGCCTACTCCCTTGGACTGTGAGTGCACTGCAGACGACAGTATGCATCACACAGCTAAAGGGCATAGAAAGAATACACTTAGTTCATGTCCTTCCGTTAATTATTATTAACATTATTATCTTTGGAGAATGCGTTACTGTTTTATTGGACATAATGACCCGTACCCGAGGTCAGAATATCTGTAGAAACATACAAAACTTGACACAGTTCCGTTAGAAATTGTTTTTTCTTACGTGTTTTAAACTGAACATTTTTAGAATATAAAAGCACGGAAAGTAGCACAAGTCTTAGTGACATGATCTGCATTTTATTATTTCGGTTAACGACAAACGTATTAAGGTAGTAGACAAATGGAAATTTCTATACTAAAAGTCACTGTTTATTATTTTTTAAGCAAAACAAAAATAAATGTTTGCGTTTTGCATTCGAATAGGATAAGATTGTTGTCTGTAGTCAGCTCAATTGTGACATTACAACACAAAACAAATGTTTACAGTTGTACATACGTGATCGGCATACTTAAAGAATTAAAAATATTACTAAAAATAAATAAAATAGCCGCCGATCTCACCTCTATCTCTTGGTTGCGATCGTCGACAATATTTTGCTGTTGTCTCAAGTTGGTCTCTAATTCTTTGTTTCTTTCCAGAAGAGTTTTGCCCAACTCTGCAGCCAGCTGCAAATCTAAACAACAAATAAATAAAAATTATATATTAATATCGGCCTAATACGTAATAGTTGAGCAAATCAAATTACTAAGTTATAAATTGTAATTTGTAATGATCATCAAAGCAAATGATTCGGCGAATTCATATAACTAACGCGCATATATTTAAGAATGAGATTAGTAAAACATGAACAACAGTTATTTCTTTCTAATTCTTCATTCTTTTACTTTTGTCAATAGAACATGTCCAAGTGTCGGTCGATACAAAGTTGTTTCGCCCAGAGGACCGCGTGTGTTGTACACAGGGAAGTTGCATAAATATAATATATTATTTTTAGTTAAGGCGGCCAAAGCCATTAACAGCAGTTCACAGATGGCTTTCATTACATCCAACGCTTTTTTAATGTCATTCGATTGTTTCATATCATAGCACGAGGTGTTCACTCCATTTATCGGAGTATAATTTGTGTGTTCATTGAGTATGGTAAACGGCATTAAGATTTCTTAACAAAGAAACTCTTTTTAAACTTATACTTTTTAAATATTAATAGACTGTAGCGATTATTATTCTTAATGCAAACGCATTAATAAGTGTTGATACAGTGAAAAATACTTCAAAAAGAGCTAACTCTTCAAACGTTGATAGAAAAATATGTTCATGTACGTGTATATATTTCTAAAAAAAAAAATGTTATGTATACTATCAACTCGAGTTGCCAGACACGATTAGCCGTTTTACATCTTTTTTCTTATCGAATTTTTACTTCGATAACAAAATGTGAGCAGTTGTTATTAGTTTATATTTTACAAATTCAGCTATAATTATACACTTATTGTAAGGGCGTTTTTTAGATTTTGCTATAAAACACTTGACAACAAGCATATTTTTTAATTATCAGGGAAGGAGTTTCTCACGGCAGTTAAACAATAAAAATATTCCATACATAATTAACGCGGGTTAACCTTTCAAAAATGACCCGTATTTATTCTTCTGAATATTCAGAATATATTTACTGAATAGCCAGTACATAATATTATTTTTGCCTTTTGATTATTATTATTATTTTTTGCAAAACAAGAAAAACATAATACCTTGAGGACCACGAAGGCATTCCAACTCAATAGTATAATCCCAGCAATCCAAAGAAGCCATGTCCGAGGACTGAATAGAATTTTGTCTTTCCATGGTGATTTCGTACGAGTAAAAATATTATAGGCACATATTTCGCTTCGGTTTTCGGCACACCCTCTGACCGTGTACCACACGTTTATAATACAGGAGAGGCCTGAGAAATATATTACAAAACGTTTTTAAGTGACACTTGTCACTGCATACAAATGTATTCAGTTACAATGCATTGTTTTTTATAGCTTAAACTAAAATATGAATGCACCGGATTGCTGTTTAAACCAGTCAACCGACCCAGTTAAAACTACTAATTACTGACCAACAACTAGGTACAACAAACGACAAGACTGTAATTAGGACGAGCGTTTGCATTAAAAACGTAAGATTAGACACACGCGTTTTACCGGAATAGTGACCGTTATGAGTAAAATTATAAAAATGTCAATAATTAAAAAGTGGAGAAATATCGAAAAAATAAAATCGAACATGGTAAAATAATCACCACCCAGTAACACTTGTATGCACTTCTGGTCATCGACGACGAGTGAGCTGATGACATTTTATATGTAATTACCGTGTCTTCTACAACACACGGTCCAACAGTTGAAAAACCTAGAAGCTATAGAAGACCTTCGGGGAAAAACGTGTGGGTCGAGGCGGTTATGTTTTTTACTCCTGATCATGTCTATAATTGTGGCTACCGTGAAAAGAATGTCATTTTGAGAAAACGAAATCATTAACTAGTAGAACACCATCAGTTGATATCGGACTAATGTTGTGCTGGGCGGATTGATCAATGTTAGGTCATCTCTTGGGACCAAAAATTATGACCAGATATTAAGGCACTTTCTTGTACATTAAATTTAGTATACAGCCCGTTTATTATTTGGCTAGGAAATAGTTTCTACGAAGGTGCGGTGCGTGTTTAGGCCCGAGTTGAAGGTATTATTTAGTAATGTTCATTTTTTATCCACATATTCTAGCCAATAGTTGTTGACGGGAACCAAAAGTTATTCTCAACAACGAGTTTGTGACTGCCACGATATACCACCACACAATTCAGTAAGCCGACAGATAATATTTTATGTCACATAAATAATGCATTTATTTATTGTGTAACTCCATAATTGTTATTAGAAGAAAACATTCGATTTTTATGTTAATTTCTAACCAACGGTCAGCCGTCGTGTATCTAATTAATCGAATAATTAATGTTCTTTTATTAAAATGATTTGACCAATACGACTTTGCAATGGCTTTGCTCGCGAAAATTGTTACTACGCTAGTTGTTGGCCCTCGTATACAAAAAATATTCCACTTAAAATCTCTACACGTGTATTGAGTCATTTTTTATTTTTATTATTCACAATAGGCATTAACACCGTGACTAGTAAAAGAATTGAAGTGTTTAAATAGCATATCGTACAAGTGTAATTAAATTGTTTATAAAGACCTAGAGAGACATAAAACGAGAAAATAAATGATAAGCGAAATTTTCCTTACGATTTATCGTTTTGTTCGAATGTGCAGGTAATTAAATTTGTATTTACACCAGACACATATACATTTAAAAATATATATAGTTATCGATGTTGTATAATAAAAGACCGAGTGCCTACACTACGATTTGATGAAGTGAAAACGTTTAAGACAACTCGAAGTCAATGCGAGTCTGAAGGAAAGATTGGTAATAAATAAAGCCAAAATGAAAACCGGAAGACTAGATTGATGAACATGTCATGATAGATAGTAAAGTGTTTTCCTCGCGAAGCAAATATCCCGTTTGATCATTGTGGAAAGAAAGTTTGTCTCAAAATCGTTAAGTATGTAAGCCCAGGGTTTAATCTCAGTAGATTTCTATTCAATGAACAACAAGACGCACAGGCTTTTCATTTTTTTTTTTTTTTTAATAAAAAGCGACTTACGATTTTTTAACGATAAAAATTTCTATGCGAAAACAAAATATAAATAATCCAAAAAACCAAGTGCACCTGTTGAACGTACACCACTCGCGTCATACGGCACTAGAACGTGTACGGCACCCGACGACAAACGGCTAAGCGCATGACGGGACACACTGCACGGGGCGCGGTATGTGTGCGGCCCACGAGGTGTACCTGCTTGGCGGTACTCCGGTGCGCGTGACGATCAACGGGAGTTCGGGTACTCACTGCGGGCGCCGCACAGGTGCTCTGGATAGAACGGCGACCCGCGGGAGGGAACTCTACACACGGCCAAACCGGTTGATCCGCGCGCCGCCTATAGGAATTCACCTGAAGATGGCATTCCGCTCGACACAAAAACATACCTTTGGGTTTAAGAAGTACTAAAACCGCAATTTCAGCGGGTCCGTCGCCAATTACGAGACTGTCCTATGCTCTTTGGGTTTGCGCACATAATTGCTAAAACGTTTCACTAACCAACGACGAAACAAGTGGCCACAGTCGAAATAATTATCAACTGTTTTATTTTTTCGATTTATCCACAAATATCGAGATTGTTGTTAAATGTGATTGTTTGAACGAACAAGTAATTTTTTAAAAAAAAAATCGACTCGGCCAAGGATCACGATCGCTAACGTTACTTGAAATCGCTCCATTAGCTCGAAATAGTAATATTCGCGAAACACCGTAACTTTAGAAATCGCAGTAATGTATTTTTGAACATATAATATTTTAGCTATTTTGTCGAGAACAGAGATTTATTATTTTCAGTCGTACACGTTTTGAATTTATAAATAACGACTCACCTTGTTTGATAAACGCCAATTTTTTCTATCTAAAGGTCGGGTGTCGAAATATCTAGCCCGATTTTCTTTTTAAAAAATAGACCGACCGAAAATAAATGAAGAGTTCAGTTCCAAATGATTCAACGATCTCGTAAAAACCTTCGATCTATCGTTAGCTGTTTTCCCTCGACTTTTCGAGAGCGGTTCACATTTACACTTAATCGATATAATATATCCACATATGTATATATATATATATGACTAGTTATATTACAAAATAATATTTCCTTCAAAAGCAAATTGACTTACCATTCTCGTTGATTAATATAAACATTTAAAATATTTTTTTCTATGTTAAATCAATAATAATAATGAAATGAAAATAATATTTAATAATTTATGCGTTCATTTCATATTCACTCTTATAGTACATTATTAATAGTAGATATCTTTTAAAAATGTTGGAATAGTCATTTGATGTTCTCGACATAAAAAACCGTTTGTATTTCAAATGGTAATACGCGATTTCGTGTTTTAGAAATACAATAGCGCATTCACAAAAATCGATTGTGTATTTTGACTCGCTAAGGTGTTTGGTAGCAAACCATATGACGGTAAACACCGGCACAACATTAACGTATAAATGTTTTAAAAACCATTATTAATAATGATCGTGAACCGTATTATAACAAGTAAAAAAATAAAACCAACGTCACAAAAACGATTGTTACACTCGGGAAATATTAAAGGTGCGTTTCTTGGCACAGTTTTACAACTCAAACAACCGCGAGAATGTTAACCCGTTCTAGACGGTGTAGAACAATTCAAAAACTCAATTAATACTTAACGACTTTTTGTGTTATCTTATCGCGCATTAAAAAAATTAACGGATTTCATTAAATACCTGTTTGAAAGTATGTTGTACTATATTATCACAGCGTTATTGCTGTACTAACGTGTTTGATAATTGATAAAGTTGCGTAACAATGTTTAAGCAAAAGGCAAAAGTCAATAAACAGCTTACTTTGTAATTGCAGTAGAGCAATTTTTGTTTTGCGTTATCTCAAAGTGATTTATCATTCCGAGAACTCTCGGCATAGTTTTAATGGCAAGTAGCTGTAGATATTTTTTTACTCAGGGTTATTACGGTAATTTTGCATGATAATCCGCCGTCGATGAACATAGGCGGGTACTTGAATTGATTTTGAGAATAAATGCTCGAACGAAACTCCAAAGTGCGGCTTACAAATGTCCAAATTGTTTGAGTAAATAAAAATTACATTTGTGAAGTACTTCAATTGTGTATGACGGTTACGTAATATTTGGTTTATAATTAGTAACTTTGTGCAATGTTTTTTTTTATTGCGAATAAGTAGCGTACGCAACTTGTTAATCGAAATATCATTAAATAATTAATAATAATATTAATTATCGATAATTTAAAAATTATTATGATCATCACATTGTTATAGCCCGATGATTTTATGGTAACTTAATTTTTTTAACGCTGCATTGTAACATCTCTACGCGGAATAGTATGCGGTAATAGAATATAACATGTTAAGCCGTCGATTACATATTTAAACAATGTAGTAATAAAAAATTTCCTATTCACTCTTGGCAATTTTTCCAAGTATTAAAAATATGATGTATTCCCTACTAGGTCTACACGGGTTCGCATACTTTACTTCCTATTCTCAAACATTTGTGAGAGGCTTGTGTAAACATCATCTGAACGTGCATAATATGAATGTTTTTGGGAAATATGTACATTTTTTTACTGGTACTATGTCCAACGGTTCGGTGCCGTCGAACTCGACAAACAAATACATTATGCTAATTATTTTTGTTAATTACTAGGATTGTTCTGTGTGTCCAAAGAAATGTATTGTTGTTAAAAGGTGAAAATAGTGTTGAATCGCGATTGAAACGCAAACAACGTTCAAAAGTATCGTTTGTAGTAAACGCCTAATTTATGGTAATTTTGTACGGATCAACAAGAGAAGCCCTAGACATTCTTGCGCGTGTCTGCTGCACAATGTCGACTAGTTAAACTTGAGAATCTATTCGGGTGATGCGACACACGAACACATAATTTCGATTGTGTCTGTTCACTATTATGTACAATATAGACGAATAGATAGAATAACATGTGCGAGTACAAGTCAAACATAAAAATATGATAAACAACACTCGTGTGCTTTGATGTAACTGAAGACTGGAAATCAATTGTGCGGGTTTAATGACAATAATAATTTTAAGTATTATTTTAAATTAGAAAATCAACGCAAAAATTATTGACGTTACAAACACGGTAAATGAGTAGTAATTACCCGAGAAACTAATAAATAAGAGGAAATGTTTTTTTAATTTAAGCGTATTCATTTTACATATTATTTTGCTTAGAGTTAAAAATCATAATGAAATAAATGAATAATAATAGTCCACGAATAAAAAATAATAGCCACGGATGATATAATCGTAATTCATATAAAATGTTTGAATTAAAATAATAAATAAATTTATTAAAATTTATTTTCAAAAAATTGAAAATTATCAAGGAAAATACAAACAAAACTCATATTTTTTTAACGAATTAATATCGCTTATGCGTTTATAAAAAAAAAAACAATGTTTTTTTGGCACAAAAAATTATTTTGTTTCCGAAGTATTAAATCTTTTCAATATTTATTTTTTAAAAAGTTATGATAAATGGAATTGTTATCAGAAAAAGTAAAAGTTTCAAAACAAGTTTTAGTGAAAAATAAAAGGAAACTTTAATTAACTAAACTGTTTACCATAAACATGTAGGCAAACATTAAAGAAATAGCTGTTGTCGAATACTATTGAAAATACTACATCGTTTCAATAAAAAATGTACATTGGTCATTTGATAAAAAATCATATTAAAATAATATTTAAATAAATTAAGAAATAGTTCTAAAATATCGACTAAATTAGAAATTTCAGACTAGCTAAGCGTTAAACATTTTAATAGAAATTATCAAACGCCATCTGTATGGGATCAACGAAGATGTCCAATTGTTCTCTAAAAAATTCAAATGCCATTACCGGTTCCTATTTGAATTTCTCAATAGACGGGTTTATTTTGATAGTCGTCGACTTGTTTAGTAACCATAACAGCAACAGCTCACCGTTTGGGGGGACGTCAGCTGAACGGTACTTTTTGATTGCATGCAAACATTATGGTTGGATAACAATAATTTGCATATTCCGCAGTAGCTGTAATGGTGCGGTTCATTATTTTTATAATGATCGATTCTCGGGTAATTGTGTACGTACTCCCAGAGTGCATCGAACTGTACTGAGACAGCTGGTCCCCCGAGGGACGTTTGTCTTCATGGAAAGTATTTGGTTGATCAATTTCTTTTCGGCCATCGTGCCAATATGCACAGCATAGGTGCTTAACCAAATCATAATGATGGTGCCAGTGTTTTCATACGGCAAATCCACTGCAATGCCGGAGGAAAGATATTTCATCAATGAAGTATCACTTAAACGTCAATATTACTTACACGATGGTTATCATGGTGACGACGATAGCGATGGCAATATGCACGAACAGCGAGAAACAACAGTAATGCAAACAATTGTTTCAAAATCGAGAAGGATCGGTATTAGAAAAGTGAAGGTGTTTGTGGAAAAAAAAAAAGGAATCGCTGCACCGTGTAATACGTACTCAAGTATGCAAACGTGTTGCGCTCGTTTGAGGCCGATAAACGGCACCACGAAGTAAGAGGAGGCTATCATAGAATCCGAATGGCCGTTCACGGTATAATTTGTACTACACGACTTGGCCTTTGAAAACATCGGTCATTTAAGATGCAATATTCAAATAAAAAATATAAAGAAACATGGACGTGAATGTTGCATGTTATGTGTGTTCAAGGTTAGATAATTAAACGCATGAAATCGCAAATAGTATTCACACGGTGTCGTCATTCGACGGACGTTACATTATTGACAGTGTCGTTGTCTTTTTACTCATCAATCTGCCATCGTGGACCTGTTGAACAGCACATTGTTGCAATAGCTACTTAAACTGCGATGAAAAGAAACGTACGGACGGCTCGAGTCGTTATGTTATTAAGCATGACAATCAAATTTTTTTACATCCATTAACTCGTACGACGTGATTTGTTATAGAACGATGTCGGTAGATAGATTGACATAATATTTACCACTGATAAATATCAACCCAATTAAAATGCACTCCTAAAGTCATATAAATATTAGAGATAATTACACGGAATAAAAAAAACATGTAAAATTAATTAATGAATAATTACTATAGTCGAATAAAAATTGTGACGTTAAAAACTCAATTATCAAGAACTTGTAGAGTAAATAAAAAACATGTTGTCCTTACTTACCAGTCTAATCAGATCAGTTGTAATGTGCACATGTATTTA